TAGGGGTGTAAATCGGCCGGGTAGGGTAGGGTTGAGCCGAAAAATTGACCCTACCCGATCAGTGCGGGTTGAGAAAATTTTAGACCGTGACACTCTCTTAAGTCTACAAACCCGCAACCTTTCGGGTGACCTCGGGTAGGGTCGGTTTACTCGGATTGGTGAAAACCAATTTTAATCTATGACTTCATCAATTTTAATCAATTTTTAGTCAATTAATTTGTACTTGTTACAAAAAAAATCATTATCAAACAGAACATGTCTTTCCTTTAAGAGGGGGTCTAAATGCAAGGTGAACAATTAAAACACTCACTTTGAAATCAAACACTTCCAATACAAATAAAGAATGTCATAATTCAACAACTATGGCATACAAGCATTTTTTACACAAACCGTGAATCCAAAACATAAATAAGTTAATAGTTTAAAAGCATAAAGTCCATAAACTTATGAAAGTAAGAATTTAAAGTGTTGGACATTATTTTACCTACTTTGAACATGCTCAGCCGAGTACGGTTATCTCGGGTTCATGTAACCTCACCCTGCGCTCTTACCCACGCAGTGCGGATTAGGGATAATTAAAACTGAAAATTAAATAAAAAATTAAAAACCATAATTTTTTAATAGAGTCGGCTCAGCTCGACCAGGTTCATCGGGTTCGGGGTGATTTTTTACGGCCCTAATCGTAATAGAGACGCGAAGCACTGGATCTCCGGGTCCTTACTGATACCATTCCCAAGTGAATTCTGAATCCACCTGCATTTCTCGCTTCCATAACTCACTCTCAGACTCTCACACTTCTTCTTCTTCACTATATACGTATATGCTTATATATACACACACACAAACATATATGTGTTTTTATTTACCGACATGCCGATCCATATGATTGTCTGACATATGGTTGTCCTAGATCAAGGTCGAACATGGCGAATTTTCTCGCTCAGTTCCAGACAATCAAGAATTCCTGTGATCACCTCGTTATCGCTGGTAAATCTTATTTCTATAATTAGGTTATACTTTTTGTTTCCCTGTAATCGCGATTTGATGTTGCAAATTTTGAGCTTGATTTCGCGGTTTTAATTCTCTGTTATTCAATTCTAGCTACCGATCTTAATGCCCTCAGATTCCGCTTTTATATTTGCCTGTGGTACCTTCTTGACTTCTAGATTGCAGTTGAATTCTCAAAATTTGAACTTTCACGGTTTTGGGATTACTCGAGTCCAATTTCGGGTCTCTTTTGCACTGAAAATGTCGGGAGATTTAACGGCTAATCCGTCTTCTGATTTTGAATTCTGCAGAGAAAGCATAAAGTGAAGAAGTGATTTTACTTTGCTCTGTGTTTCCAGTATGTAACATATTTAAGAAAAAAATATGCACGTCGTGATGAAAATTGAAAACAACTTCTTTTTTTTTTTTCTTACAGAATTCATAGAATTTTGACATGTATTCATATCATTGCTCATTTTACAAATGTACAAAATGGGTGTTTTTCAGAAACGGTATATGATTGAATGAACTTGAGGCAGAAGTGTTTAATTCTGAAGAGTTTCTGGGAGAGTGAACTTTAGGTGAAGCAAACATTGCCAAAGTATCTATAGATCATTTCAGATTGTGAATTTGTGAATTCTTTATTGGAAATAAGGCTTTTTTGCTGATTGACTGCAAATAAGGCTTGGTTCAGTAGGTTGCACTCTCTTTCTCACTTATATGTAGTTTACGTTTATATGAATTGGCAACCAATTGAGAGTTCTTGAGTTCTATTTTCACTTAGTTTTATTTTTGTCTCAATCAGTTGCGTTCAAAAGATGATTGAAACACATAAATTTGTGAGAGTAGCTTTCTTTTCACTATAGCTTCGAAGCTAATTTTACAATGCGGTGGTTTTCAGTTGAAGACGTCAGTGATTTGTGGCCTACCATCAAGAATGGATTCGAGGAGCGGTTTCCATTGAAGAGGGCTTACTTGAATAACAAGACCAGAAATCCTGTGCCTGTAGATAATTTACCTGCTGTACTTATATTAACAACAGATGCGAGGCTTCGCAGTCGGTTCCCGCATGAGCAATATTTATTTTGGTTCCGGGAGCCATATGCAACTATTGTCCTTATTACCTGTGAGGTTAGACGGAAGCTCCTTCATCTCACTGATATCCCTACTGTTATCTTCGGCATGGCTCTACATGCTTGAGCCACCTGAGGTTGTTGAAACATGATACTGTGTATTTCTGTCTTTGAAGTCTCAAACCAAAAGAAATTGCATGGATACATGTCATAAGTTTTCTAATCCAATGATAGAACAGTTCTTCAACCTGCATCTCACACATGTTTTCTGGACTAAAGGAGCCATTTCCTATTTTATTGATGAGATCATAAATATATTGGTAACCTTTTGAATTTGCATAAGATTAAAAATGTTCTTGTGCCATTTTGTGTGTGTGTGTGTGTGTGTGTGGTCTGGTGGGGAGTTTTGGGGGTAGAAGTCTAATATTGTTTGTACGCCATGTATAATTTAACCTGGATATTGTTTTGTGCTATATGAATCCATAATCAAATGTTTTATTATTTTATAAGAAACGAGAAACTTCATTAATTGAGAAAAAAAAAATTTAATTACAACAGAAGTTTCAGGATGGTAGAGGATTTCATCAAAGAAAACAAAAGTAAGATTACAATTGAGAAAGACTAAAGAATGAAAATAAACAAATGCAGAATCCTAAGGCCCCATCTTGTTCAGAATATCTTCCCAGCTTAGAATTATCAAGGAAAGCGGGAAATGTTTAAAAGAGGAATATGTTGAGGACCACAACGATGCAAGAAATTTGCCTTATCAAACAGAACTTTAAAGGACATCTCCTTGTCCTCAAAAACCCTTTGGTTTCTCTCTATCCAGATGACCCATAAGATAGCTAGAATCAAAGCTCTCCAGATTGTCTTGGCTTTTCTGTCCCTCCCAAAACCAAAAAATTCCTCCACCAGGTATTACTTCGCAAAGGAAATGACCAACAGTAGCAACTGCTTCCAAAACTCTACACCACAGTCTCCGAGCCAATTCACAGTGTAGAAACAAATGATTCACTGTTTCGGAGCTGTCCTTATGGAGACAAGGCTATATTAGGGCGTTTTCTCTGCACTAAATCACAAGTATTCAACTTCCTATGAAAAGATAACCAGGCAAACGCGTTAACTCTATAAGGAGCTATCTTTGTCAAACGTGCGGAGAGAGGTATTGATAATGGCTTCCATGGACTTGATTTGGAATGGAACTAGCATGTGGAACACTGACATAGGAATTAATAAGTGAAATCCTTTAAGCTTTATTATATGATTTTTCTTTACTAACCATGAGAAACTGGTTGAGCTGTGAGGCTTATAAGTCTGCTCCCACATGATCTGGGGTTTAATTCCTCTAAGACCACAGAGCGGGTTCTGAGATATATAAATATGTACATAAAGATTGGTACTTGTTAACACTTTTTGGTTTTTTCTCTTTTATATGTTGATCTTTCTAAATAAGAGTTTGATAGTATTATGCTGCTAATATAACTGTTAAACAACATTTTCTTTTTCCATTTTACCAGGATCTTGATGAGTTCAAAACCATCCTTAAACCCCGCCTGAAATTGATTGTCCAAAATGATGAACGGGAATGGTTTATTGTTTTTGTCTCTAAGGCTCATCCCAATAATGATCAGGCTACCAAAATGGCAAAGAAAGTATATGCCAGACTGGAAGTTGATTTTAGTTCCAAGAAGAGAGAGAGGTAAAAAAAGTTGCTGTCTTCAGTAATTTGTCCTTTTTTTTTTCTTTTTTTTTGTACATGTTATTTATTATTTGCAAATAGCAAAGAAAAATTTCATCGATAAAGTTGCTGTCTTCAGTTCTATACATGTTTATATCTGGTATTTGTTGCATTCTCTCTATTTCTTTCATAGCTTACCCCTTTATCACATTGACTAAAAATTACTGATTAGAATTTTTAATACAGTTCTACGTACTGCACTAATTCCCTCCAAGTATTAAATACTAAAATCTTTGTGCATATCAGATATAAACATTAGAATATAAGTTTTGTAGTATATAAGTGTAACATGGTTCAATTGTTTTTTAGATTTTTCCTTTACAAGTTTTATGATTTATCATTTACATTGCTCAGGTGCTGCAAGTTTGATTTACATAGACCTGAAGCAAATTTTTGGGAAGACTTGGAATCCAAGATTGTGGAATGTATAAGAAATACCTTGGATAAGCGTGTCCAGTTTTATGAGGATGAGATACGCAAGCTCAGTGAACAACGGTTCATGCCAGTGTGGAACTTCTGCAATTTTTTTATTTTGAAGGTTGTTACGTCTTTAGCGTATGTAGACTAAGAAAGCCATTTGAAGAGGCTTTGCCGGCTAAGAGGAATTAATACAATTATTTCTAAAACATACGGAGCTCTCGTGATCAAGTCACTATCTTTTAAAAAGCTTATTTGTAACTTGCCAAGAATTAGTTCAAGATGTTCATGACATAAGATTTTCATAGTATGCAAATATAAACATAAGTCCGACAAGCCTTTGTTTCTTTATAGCCATATATCCCAGTTGTTTATCTAGATATGCTTAATGTATATGCTGCTGTTCTCAGGAAAGCTTGGCTTTTATGTTTGAGATGGCTCATCTTCATGAAGATGCTTTATGTGAATACGACGAACTAGAGCTTTGTTATTTAGAAACAGGTGCAGTTTTGTGTCTCTCCTTTTTGCAGGTTTTCAGCAAGATACATATTCTGGTTTTCAGCGTTCTCAAGAAAACCACCTTGATGTAAAACACTACAAATACTATATATTCCCTGAATATGATGATTTTGACTCATGATTCATTTTCCTGGAATGCAGTCAATATAACTGGGAAACAAAGGGACTTCGGAGGAGTAGAGCATGGTGATGATCAGGCAACGTTGCTTAATCCTGGGAAAAAACCATTGACACAGATTGTTCAGGATGACTCATTTCGGGAGTTTGAATTTAGACAGTATGTCTTTGCCTGTCAATCGAGGGTATGTTGAACCTGAGTGTAATCTTCTACCACTTGTATAATAAACACATATTTGTAATACGTCGATATGGCTGAAATATTGTCTGGTTGCTTTGGTCTACCTCTAATCTTTTATTCTCTCTCTCTCGTTCTCAAGTCGTATAATTATCTCTAATTCATATTGCCATATGTATTCTAACTTGTAGGCTTCTTTTAAAGTAGGAAAATTTGGTTTTTCATCAGAATAAGTTTTGCAGATTTTATTTCAATTTTTTGCTGAAACTATATTTTCTATCAAGTTTCTTAGAGATAAGCTTTTAATTGCAGCTTCTGTTCAAGCTGAATCGCCCCTTCGAGGTTGCATCAAGGGGCTTCTCATTCATTATAAGCTTCTCAAAGGCCCTAACAATGCATGAGGTATTCAATTTTTTATTTCATATATGTATTTTTTTACTGTCCTATATAACCTATATTTAGTTTTATGCAAGTGATCATATCAAATTTCTTTCTTTCCCTCACCTTTTTTTTTTTCCTCGCTATTCCTCCCCCCGGAGTTGCTTTCAGAATATTCTACCTTTTTCTATGCGTGAGATTTGGGTGATATCTGCTTGCATGGATTTGATCGATGCAACTGCTTCAAATTATAACGAAGGACTTGCACCACTTGATATAGAAAAGGAGTTCTATCGACTTCAGGGTGACCTTTATTCTCTATGCAGAGTTAAGGTAATAGTTTTTCATAAGTGATGAAGTGACTACATATCATTCAAAGATTATTCTAGTGTGTTAATAGAAGTTACTCAAAAGCCATTGACTAAACATTGTCATTGTAACTAAACATTGAAGTCAATGACACAAGTCTGGTAGTACTGCTTAAATGAAAGGTGAGTAATTCGTATTAATAAAACAAAATAAAATAAGACTTAATTGCAGGATTTTATGGCCTTCTAGACAATTGTCTGAATGTAATATTGAAATTTTCTTGCAGTCAAATTTACTTCGTTTTTTTTTCCTTTTTCCTTTTTCCTTTTTTAAGGTTTTGCTTTATAGAAAGTTCCAATGAATTTATGATTTTGGCAGTTCCTGAGACTTGCTTATTTGATTGGATATGGAACAAATATGGAAAGAAGCCCTGTCAACAGGTATACTATAGCATTTTTCAAATTTGCTTAGCCCCGGTTTGTTTCACTGGTTTAACTCAGTTCAACTCAGTTTGAACAGTGAGCACAGTTTAAACTTATTTTTGGTAAGCATGTAGTCCAAATTATATTGTCCGTTTGAACTGAATTAAACTTTCTAACTTAGAGTTTAGCTCTCCCCTTAAGTTCAATCCATTTTTGAACAGTAAAAAGGTGACCACTCTCTCTGCTTCTAACACCTATCAAACACTAATTCGAATTTTATTCTATGCTCATATTAAAATTTTAACTGCACATCCAAACGTCAATTCGAACTACAATTTAAACCACACAATTTGAATTTTTCTGTTCAAACAAAAAAGTTTAAATCAACAAAATCCGTACCAGCGAACCAAATGGGGGCTTAGTTATTGTAGATTCTAGGTAAACTTTTTCAGTTGATTTAAGTGAAATTAATCATCGTACAAAATTTCCAAAAAGCCATGGATAGTTTATGTTCCTGTGAAATTTATCTTCCTTTTCGTTTGAACAGTGCTTCACTCAGCATGCTACCTTGGCCCAAGCCAGCAGTTTGGCCCTCAGTTCCACCTGATGCTTCGTCCAAGGTGCTGGCAAAAGAAAAGGTATCTGCTTTTTTTAGAAGAAAACCACATTATACTGGAGCATAGTTCATAGTGATTACTTGGATTTCTGTGTGAAGAATGAGAGCCAAAGTATAGTATGGAGTAAATCCGAGAAACAACATTTGTTAACTACCCCTCTAGCAGGCATGGCTTATAATCGTCAGTTCTATTTTGTACCTGAAAGTGTTATTATGTAGTGTACACTAGCAACTTAATTATTCAGGAATAAGAAGGTGAGAATTTGAGGGGTGTTGGACTTGGAATGAATTTTAGCTGCAAAAGAAATAAAAAATAAAAAAATAAAAATAGAAAACACACACACACACACACACACACAGATTAAAAAATATACCTTTTTCAATGACTTAACCTGCATCTATTCCCATTTGGCATGCTAGTTACATTCAAGTCGGCTAAAATGAACTCTCTTCAGAGTCTTTTTAAAAGCCATGTTTAATAAATGATGCCTGATATGCTAAGTTCATAATTTCTCAACTAGGAACGGAATAATTTTCTGAAAGGTCTTTGTGTGGTCCTTCTTTGTTTCCTTTTTGTAGTTGATTCTTCAAGAAACTCCAGCAATCAAGCACTTTGGCATTCAAAGGAAACCATTGCCCCTTGAACCATCTTTACTTCTCCGTGAGGCTAATCGGCGCAGAGCTTCTCTTTCTGCTGGAAACATGCTTGAAATGTATGATGGTCGCCAAAGCTTTATTGATGTGTTACAATAATTCAGAAATTATGGCCATTGTAGTTGGTGATACAATAATTAATCCAATGATGAATTAGTTTTAAATGAATGCTTCTTTTTCAATACTTTTTTTATTCTTATGATTTCAACGATTTTTTATTTTTAAAGTTTCTATGTGGTTTGGCAGATCAGGTTCAGATGCAATGTCAAAGATGTTCCCATCACATAAAGCACAAACAAATTCCATGACACGTACTAATTCTTCACCAGGACTGGACAGCTCGATAGATCGACCTATGAGACTTGCGGAAATTTATGTTGCTGCAGAATATGCTTTGCACAGCACAATTTCCAATCCTGAGCTATGGAAGTCTTTCTCATCGGTAGAAGAGTTTGAGGTATGAAAATTTTGCTTAAAACACGGTCAAGAACTTTCTTAAAAGTACTCGTGATTGTGCATTGTTAATGTTTAATCATGTCAAGATCCCTACTTTGTGTAATGATGATCCCTCTTGATTTTACATAGTTTACTTATAAATCATTTTAAATTGGACTTAAGTAAAGCAACTTCTGCTCTTGGTTTTTAAAACTTAAATTTAAATTCTTGTTTCTGCAGCAAAAATATTTGGAGTTAACAAAAGGTGCTGCAGACAATTATCATCGCTCCTGGTGGAAAAGACATGGAGTTGTTCTTGATGGTGAAATAGCAGCTGTCTACTTTAAGAATGGAAACTTCGATCTAGCTGCAAAGTCATATGAGAAGGTTTGTGCCCTTTATGCCGGTGAAGGATGGCAGGATCTATTAGCTGAAGTCCTGCCCAATTTAGCAGAGTGCCAGAAGATACTCAATGATCAAGCTGGTTACCTATCATCTTGTGTGAGATTGCTTTCTCTAGACAAAGGCTTATTTTTAACCAAAGAACGTCAAGCTTTTCAGTCAGAAGTTGTTCGTCTTGCACATAGTGAAATGAAGCAACCTGTGCCTCTAGATGTATCATCATTGATCACATTTTCTGGCAATCCTGGGCCTCCAATAGAATTATGCGATGGAGACCCTGGTACTCTTTACGTAACTGTTTGGAGTGGCTTTCCTGATGATATAACACTTGACTCACTTAGTCTGACACTGATGGCTACTTTTCAAGCTGATGAAGGTGTTAAGGTACGATTTATTGGACATAATCTTATGCATGTTTTAATACTACATTCTACCCTTCATGTAATATTGCTAAAATTTCCATTTACATTTTCAGGCACTGAGGAGCTCTACTGCTATTGTACTAAAACCTGGTCGCAATACAATTACCTTGGATTTACCACCCCAAAAACCAGGTTCCTATGTCTTGGGGGTTCTTACAGGGCAGATAGGGCACTTAAGTTTCAGGTCTCACAGCTTTTCAAAGGGTGGTCCTGCAGATAGTGATGATTTCATGAGTTATGAAAAGCCTACAAGACCGATCTTGAAGGTATAGTCTACCCAGGACATACTATACTGCTAGCTTAGTATTGCTTTCTGTACATTTTGTGATTAGCATTAATTCTATAGACATTGCGTGCAACTTGGAGAAGAAATTTTATCAGTGAACTTATTCTTCACCTGCCGGGATATATTCGTGAAGTTTCAGTATCTAATTATCCTCTTCTCTAGGTTTTCAAATCAAGACCTCTGGTTGATCTTGCCACAGCTGTTTCATCTGCTTTGCTTATAAATGAATCCCAGTGGGTTGGGATAATAGTAAGACCCCTTAACTACTCCCTTAAGGGTGCTGTATTGCATATTGATACTGGTCCTGGCCTCGGAATTGAAGAGTCACACGTCATTGAGATGGAGAGCTATGCAGATTTAACAAATGGTTCCACAGAAACGGTCACTAATGGTGCTCTAGAAAATGGTTCTTCGACTGTCAATAAAGATTTTGAGCAGTTGACTCTTCATGATGGTAGAATAGAGTTTCCAGATTGGGCAAGCAATATGACATCTATTTTATGGATTCCAGTTCGTGCTATCAGTGACAAGCTTGCAAGAGGATCCTCTTCAGGTTTGAAGATAATCATACAAATCTTTTGGTGGTTGCGTGCATTTATACTTATTTGCGTCCTAATGCTTACATGTATATGGTGCATCATTTTTCATGAGCAGCTACTCCCCAGCGAACGAACATTGTGGATGGAATGAGGACTGTAGCCTTAAAACTTGAATTCGGAATATCTCATAACCAGACTTTTGAAAGGCATGTCTATTTTCTGTCTCCCAAATTTTGTTGATAATTCCTTTTTTTCTTTTTGAATTTCCTTGTACACAATTTTTTATTAGTAATTTATTTGTGAATACGCTTGATCTGCTGCAGGACCTTAGCTGTGCATTTCACTGATCCTTTCCATGTGAGCACTAGAGTTGCAGATAAATGCCACGATGGTACTTTGCTTCTGCAGGTATTACATATTTTGAGTTTTGAGAACTGTTCTTCTGTTCATATTCCTTAAAACATGTCCAGACAAAACTGACATAACAAGCTAATGGTAATAATTGAAAGAATGGTGCAATAGGCTGAATACATGAATTGGAATATTGTTCGGATAGACATACCAAAGGCACCATGATGCAAGGGTATCACTCAACTCAAGGGTGGGCCTATAAGGGCAGCCTCGAGGAAGGCCTTGGGCCCATCCAAGAGGGTCTTGGAAGAAAGGCGTAAATGGGTCGAGTTCGGAGAATGCGCTCTTCGGCTTGGTCGTGGGTGATTGATTGAATTAGACTGCAATTCCGCTATAGATGCAATTTTTGGAGGATTGGTTGCCTCTGTCCTACATCGGCTGGTATTAGAGCAAGAGGTCTTGTGTTCAAGTCATTGTGCATCCTGAAGGGGTATTTTCGGAGGAAGGGAGAATGGTACAGGGGCATCACTTGAACACAAGGATGGGCATACATTGTCCTGGGCCTAGAAGTAGGCTTGGGCCCGTCCATAAGGCTCTTTGAAGAAAGGCCTAAATGGGTAGAGCTCAGAGAGTTCGCTCTTGGGCCTAGTCCTAGGTGATTGATAGGATTAGATTGCCCCTCCCCTAACAATTGCAACTTTTGGGAGGATTAGTTGCATGTCCTACATCACATTGCCTGTCTAGCCTCCTTACGTTTCCTGTTATTCAGTTCTGGGAACAATAACCAAATCTGATATCCAGGACATTTGCTATAGCATCCTCCATGCCAAGAATTTTTTTGAGTAATATTTATAAACGGACTTAGATCCTCTGTCCAATTTTTGCTATCCCAAACTGGGTCCAACCAGTGATATTATAATTTTAGTAGTCTTTTAAGAGACTACTCCGTTAAACACGTTGTTAAGTTTACTTTGGTTTATATCTCCTCTCTTCAACTATCCCGCATAGCTTCAGATTTCTCTCTCCTCTTCCGGTTTCTTCTTTTCTTTCTCGAGCAAAATATGCTGGTCAGTCTGGTCTCTTTACTTTCTATTCTTTTTAATTACTTCATTGAACCATTGAAGATTGCAGACTGTTAAAGAAATATATGAACCAGATAAAGTACAGGTTTCCTCTTATTTCTCTATTTTTTCTTTTTATTATCAAATATAGAAATAGTCAAATTATATTATATTATTTATAAAAACACATTTTAGCAAAAGAAAAAATTATGTACAAAAAAACAAATAGCACATCGTGTTATATCAGTGAAAAGCAACGATTGTATAAAATTCACCCTAAAAAAAACAATTGTATAATCCTTGAGAGCTCTGAGCTCTGCTCTCTCTGCTTTCTTTGTTCATGTTCATAGATTGATGTAAACTGTAGGAAGATGAGATGAGTGATGTTTAGGGAATGAAAAGAGAACGGAAAAGAAGAAAGTGTACAACTCCGTAAAGCGTGAACAGAATGCCTAGAAAAATAGGAAAAATTGGAGAGTGGAAAGAGAAATAAAGCAAAGATAACAGTGTATTAAACGAGTATTCTGTTACACGGCCACAATGTTTTTAATGAGGCAGGAAACAGTTTGGGACAGGAAAAATTAGACAGAGAATCCGAGTTCAAGAGAAACTATTGTAGTATGACAATGAGAATACAGGATATTATTGTTGTGTACTTTGAAGACATGCTGATTGAGTTGTCTATTTGTGTCTTAAGCTTTAAAATTTGACATCTGCAACTCCCTATATCTGCTTTAAGGTATGCGATTTGCACCTAATATCGCTGACGTTTTTGTACATGCGCCATTCACAATTGAAATTTGCATGGTTATAACTTTTAGCTTCGTGAAACTAGGAGAGAGATTTAAATTTGATATTTGATGAGGTCTTTATTCGTTGAAGGTCCTTATTTATCGCTGCTGTGACGGCGATGATCATGCATTTTGTCCTTTTGTGGTTGTCTGTATATTCTGTTAAGTACATTGTTAATATTACTTCAGGTTATACTACATTCTGAAGTTAAGGCTGCATTAACTATCCACGATGCTTGGCTTGATCTTCAAGATGGATTTGTTCATGCTGATCGAGGCGATGGGAGACCAACTTCAGGCTTCTTTCCACTGGTAATTTCCCCAGCTTCCAAAGCAGGAATCTTGTTCAGCATACGTTTAGGGAAGACAGATGCTGAAGGTATTGACAATCATGCAACTAATAGTTCCAAACTTTCAAGCTTGCTTTACTGCATTTTTAAGGTCTGCTAAGAGCCTACATTTGAGGCACTCAACCCTTATATTCCCTCTTTTTGTGACAGATGCATCTAACGTTCTAGAGTCGGATAGCATACTAAATGTTAGATATGGGATTTCTGGTAATAGAAGTGTTGGAGCACACCCTCCAGTTAGCACAAAGCATTCAGCAACAGAGGATGCTAAACAAGATTTAGTTTTCCAGAGTGCTCTCGTTTTGCAAAGGCCCGTCCTGGACCCATGCTTAGCTGTTGGTTTTCTTCCTCTCCCTTCTAGTGGCCTTAGAGTTGGCCAGCTTGTTACCATGAAGTGGAGGGTTGAAAGGCTAAAAGATTTTGAAAATGAAGTTCCACAGCATCATGTAAGTCATGAAGTGATCCCTTTTTTTATTATAGAGAAATGATAAAGTATTTCAATTCGCTGTTGAGGTTTATGTTACAGAATTCATCTACTCGAGGAAGAATTATTGAATGTTAATAAAAGTTTATATTTGTTTGCTCGTTTGGCAGGATGAGGTGCTATATGAAGTCTATGCAAACACTGATAACTGGATGATTGCTGGAAGGAAAAGAGGACATGTTTCTCTCTCTGCAAAGCAAGGTTTGTGAACAACTCAAATACTTGTTTGCACAAGGGAATAGCCAACTGAAATGGATTTTCCTTTTAATGTCAATTGCTCTGACATCTTCATCTCTCACACCAGGTTCAAGGATAGAAATCTCTATATTGTGTGTGCCTCTAGTGGCGGGTTATGTACGGCCACCTCAACTTGGGCTACCGGATGTCGTTGAGGCAAACATAAGTTGTAATCCACCTGGACCCCACCTGATTTGTGTGTTGCCTCCAGCTCTGAGCTCCTCCTTTTGCATTCCTTTGATGATGTCTGCTAGTTCCTCAGTTTTTCTCCGGCATTCTATGCGTCTTGCAGTTTTCCAACGGAGCATTTTTTTTTCAAATGAATCAGATTCATGGCATTGCTATATACTTGGGCCCCAAATTGGATACCCGGAATTTTGTATATCCCTGTTTCTTTTTCCTTTTAAATTAACAAAATTAGATTTAAAAGGTAGGTTTTTTATTGTTACACTGTCATTATGTCCTTTTGAGACCTTAGTCTTGTATAGCAGAATTTGTACTTTTCTTGTACAACACAGCGTCTCATTTTCTTTTGGTTTCTTGCTGTAAAATCTACCTATCTGATAGGAAATTATGACTAAGGGATTCATTATTCTATCTTCTTGGTACCAATCTACTAGTCCCACCTCTTGCTGCAAAGTCGTGACTCTTTGTGGCGCGTTCGTGTGTGTGAGCATATACGTGCGCGGGTCGGCGTGTGTGCATGTATAGTTTTTGTTTTTTGTTTTTTTGTTAATGTGGCTAAGCGTGTTTTACTTCAATTATGTTGAGTTTTAGATTCTGGCACTATTATCCCAAACAATTGAAATGCAACATGGGAAGTATTGGAGGCTTATTTGTGTAAAGCTTGTGAGATTGAGGTTTATAAGGTTCTTGAACCAAAATGTTAGTGGTAAGCAACACCTATAGAAAGAATGAGTGAAAATAATACTAAATAATGGAAAGCAACAAATGAGATTTGAGACTCGTTCACACGTACTTTAAAGAGGAGGGTTTTATCTGTAACTACTAAGCATTAGGCTCTAAAAGCAAACCGAAAACGAAAATGAAATAAAAACATAATTGGAACAGAAAGGTCCTTCGTGAGGTGAGCATTGAGAGCAAGCTATATTATTTGTGTAAGCTATATTATTGAGTATTTATTTTAATTTCAAAATATATTATACTCAAATCTTACATGATGATGATGATGTAAGAAGCAAAAAATAAGAATTGTGAACAGAAAAAAAATACAAAAAACAAAACAAAGCAAAACAAAAGAAGAAGAAGAAAAGAAAAAAGGGATGGCAAGTAATGAGAATTGTGAACAGAAACTACAAAATACAAAGAGGAGGCTTTTATTTGTAAGACTGTAACTATTAAGCAAAAAAGAGAGAAAAAAATTGAAAAGAAGCAAAATGGAAAAAAAAAAAAAAAGGTCCCACCGAGATTTGAACTCGGGTTACTGGATTCAGAGTCCAATGTCCTGACCACTAGACCATGGGACCATTTGGTATTCAATTGCTTATTAATTAATATTGATCAATATCATTGAAAATGGTCCTACCCAATAACATTACATATTGCTAATTCTATAGTCAAATTATCTAGAATATGGTCCTGTCTTTCACGTAAGTGCACATGCTTGAAAATTTCTCAGTTTAAAGGACATGAAAAGAATATAGAGAGAGAGAGAGACCAAAAATATTACAATTAGACGACTAAGGGTACTCTATTTTAGGTTCGAAAAATATTTCTGCATACTTGTCATGTTAACTTCATTAAAATAAAATTTAAAAAAAAAAAAAAAAAAACTTGTCAAGTTGACATAGTGATATTGCCAAAAACATTTCGTTTCAAGAAATAGTGATATTGCTAAAAACATGGCCCGCGTTACATGATTACATCTGTTTCTTGTAATCTTGTTCTTTAAAATTGTGGTTATTTCTCACTCTTAAAATCTGAAAAATTAAAATAAAATAAAAAATAAAAAATAAAGACTTTTTTTCTCCATTTTACAGTAAATGCTTCAAAAATCATGTCAAATAATGTGAATTTCCACTATGAGAAATATACCACTGACCATTGTGGAATTCTTCTCTTTGCTCAATATTTTTCTGTATACTATTCCTAAACTGTACTTTTTTTTACTACTGATAACACCATGCATACTGCTTTTTGCTTTTGCTTATTTAATGTTTGTATGATTTTGTTGCTAGGTTGTCTTTTCCAATTTAATGGAACTTTTTGGTAAATACCAATTTAATGGAAGTCTGAGGACCACTTGTTGATTAATTTAATTAACTATTAATGTGTATAATAAGACTGGATGATGCTCTATACATGGATATGCATGTGTTTTACTAAAGGAAGTTGCAACATTTTTCTTTTTTCTTTTTTTCTTTTTTTTGGGGTCCCCCAGAAATTGGTTTCATCTCTATAGTTTCATTCTAAGGCATTCTAATAGTAGAGGTGATAAGGTTAATTACTGAACTGAAATTTCACAATCATTTACTCTTATCTCTCAAAACTTGCTTCATTTTTAAGTGCCTAAGCCACGTTCATAGTTTAAAGACTCCTTTTAAAAGTAGGCCTAAGATTGCATTATTTTGTCCTTTACACTACCGACAAATTATGTTTAGAGGATTGAATTATGCTTAATGAGAAATGGTTGAGCACAAAAAGCAGCCCAAATTTTCTGATGGATTTACACAACATTGGCAGCTCTATGTATGACCTCTGAACCTAAAAATAACTTTAGTAAGATATATATATATATATATATAACAAATGATGAGAAGGAACAATTAGTATCAAAGTAAATCAAAACATATTAAGCAAAAAATAAAATAAAATAAATCAAAATATTCCAATAAAGTTGGCATCTCTCGAATATTTGTCACATACTAAGCTCTTCACTATAATATTCGAAATAAAAAGAAAATTAGTAATGTTACAAGAGATTGGGAATATGACAAAAGTCACAACAGGCAAAAGTTTAGAAAAGAGAAACAAAAAAACTCCTAAAAGACTCCAGAAAGCTAGATGGAAATAAGCAAGAACTAACACGAGAAGGCCAACCCTAAAATTCATTTTTGAAAATTAACCCGTAGTTTTGGTGCGAATAGACAACTTTTTGTTGAGAATAGTGTCCTAGAAGCATGAGATGTAATAGGATATTTATTATTTATTTAATAAAATAGTTTATTCATTATTTTATGTGCATATATTTATGAATATTTTATGAATATCAATGAAAATTCCATGATTATTTATGTAACCTTAAACACTGTATATAAGTGTTATATACGAGAGGATAATGTTTAAGGATAATAATAAAAAAACAATGTTCATAGTGAATTTAATTAAAGTTCAGAATCTTTAATTAAAACATTATTAATAAATTTCATTCCCATTTATAATGGAACGGTGTTATCCGCACTGTTAATATGGCGAGATATTGAATGAGTCTATTTCGCATAATGAGATTATGTGGAACAAGGACACAGACACAATATGAATTTCTAATAATTCCGTTAAGTATAGAAATTCTAATTGAGTCTACCGATGGTCATATATAGGATGATCTTAATCCTGAGTTCTTAACAGACTCCTATTTATGGATTTGTGTCTTTTGATTTACTCGGTACGGATTCTGAGATCCTGAATCCTATTCCTTGTATTTTGGAGACATGATGAAATAGGTAGCCGGGAATGTTATTACACGAGATGGAATCCATTCCTTCTTAAGAAAGAAGTAGATAAATAATTCTCTTGAGGGTTGATTCGGTACTTGGACTAGTAGGAGCTCCGATTCATGAATGTGTTTTATGAATCACTGTCCATTAGA